TCTCCAAATGATCCACTGCCAATTTTCCGACCCAGTCGATACTTGTTCCCAACACGAGGCTCCATCAAAACCCTAATTTCGTCACTGAATTTCCAAAAGCTTCTAAAACCCTAGCTTTTTAACGCAAGAAACAAATACATGAGCTCAGTACAAAGATCTAAAAAGGCATCGAAGTGTGATTTTCTCTCATCGCTGTCTATCTACAAAAGCTAGGGTTTGGTTTGAAGAAAATAGAGAGAGAGAAAAAAGAATCTTCAGAGTTTCTCTCTCTATATTTATATACTTCTTGCACATATGCTTTTCCTTTTTCGGTTTTTTCCATCTTCTTGAGTTTGCCAGTGAAGCGCGTTTGTGCGAACAATTTTTGGAGGGTGAACCTACGCGTTGAGATGACGCGTGATGGAAGGTTCGACTGGATTGGGGTAGTCCAACATTAGGTGTTATTGGTTATGTGGGGTCAGGACAAGTGGCATATGCACACATTGCTGGCAAAAGGCTCGTGTGTCACGTGACTTGGCTAGTGCTTGGTTCTGTTTTTCTTTTTCTTTTTTCTTTTTAATTTGAAGAATACATATTACATTAAGGACCTATTTACCCATAAATTTTGCCAATTTTGTTTTGGCAAATACATGTTTGTTCATAAATTTTATTGGAAAAATTTCACATTAGAACAACTGAGCTCCATACTTTTCAATTTTATAGCCTATATTTCAATTTACAACCAACTAGCCCAAAAATAATAGGCTAAGATTCAACATCCAACTTCAATAGGTTCTCAAAATTACTATTTAACTTTTAAAAAAGATTCCTCAAACTTTTAAATTAATTTTCGAATCAGTAACAGTGACTCAAATGTTAATTTAACAAACCAAATTCATTTGGGTGGTGAAAATTAAATTTTTAACAAGCTTAAGTATGTGGGTTTAAATTCAAATATGATTTTATGAGAAATTTGGAGTGAGTGTTATTTAAACTTGTTAGAAATAGTATAAGGAGATTGTATATAAAATTTGAAGTCATTTAATGGAGATTTGGACTGGTTTTGAATAAGAATTACAACTGAAAATCGTGGAAGAAGTTCGTCTATTGACGCTTGTATAAAGGTGTATAAAAGTGTATAAGGTGTGTTTCTACACTCATATACACTATTATATAAGATTATACAAAAAACTGACTTCGTCTTCTTCCTTGCGTCTTTTCTGAAATTTAACGTAAATCTTGCTCAAATCTACTCCAAATCACTTCAAATTTAAATTTTGAACTCCTTTTGATATTTTCAATCAATTGGAACAACACCCAATCCAAACAACTAACAAATTCAAAAAAACTCATTTTCAAAAGCAAAGCTTTAAATGGTCTTTCATGGTGGACTTCTACTCTTCAATTTTATTACATTGCAAGCAGGTGACACAAGAGGAGAAGCAGAAAATACACGGACCCTTGAAGCATATGTAGAAGATGTGAGAAAAAGAGAGTGAAAGCAATGGTTGTGAGAACAAAGAATTAACTCCATAGCTTTTAGAAGCAATGGTTGTAAGAACACAGATTTTGAATTTGCAAGTGCTTTCAAAATATGTACAATGTGGGCTAGGTGGGGTAAAACTTAAAAACATTGACCATTTTTTGTTATGGTGTGAAGTCATGTGTATTTTCTTGTAATTCTTTCAATTTTATTTATATCTTGGTAAATTTTCAAAACCCAAAACTCAAATCCCAATATTACTATTATATTTTTTAAAAATTGCTCCAAACTTTTGTATTTTATAAAAGAGTCCACCATTTATTATTTTGTAACAATGTTGCTTCGTCTTCTCGGTCATCTGATAGTTATTATATAGTGCATTATAAAATTGATAATTTTGTACCAATTTTGTTTATGTTCAGGACTATGGTTTATGATAATGATAATGAATGTTATTGATAAAGGTACTACTGGGTATTTGTGATAGTTTTTAGAACTTTTGAGTATAAGTCATATTTCATGTTTTTTCAAAAAAAAAAAAAGAAGGTGAAATATATTTTGAAAACTGATGTCCAAACACATTTTCATCTTCAACCCAAACTTCACCCAAATTAGATTTTTCAAAACAATTTTGAAAATCTATGGCCAAACATTGGCTAAGAGTTCATCACAACTATCATCAAAGATTGTCGTGCAATGAATACAATTCATTTACTATTAGTAAAATCTTTTCTTAACTTAGACTTTAAGTTAGGAACTAAGTGTCACAACCCGATTTACCCACCGACGGGATCGTGATGGTACCTAATATTGAACCCACTAGGTAAGCCAACTTTATTGATTATTCTACCTTTTTGCCTTTATCTTTATCAATTTACCAAGTTAATTCAAGTAATCAACGGAAATAGAAATGCGGAAGAATAGAATTTGAACAGTTTAACTAATACCAATACAAAACTCATAATAACAACCCGTCCAGAACTGGTGTCACAATCTCACGGACTATCTATGAAAACTAAAATAGGATCTTAAGAAAGAAAATACACGTCTATCTCTGAAATAGAAAAGAACAGAAAGAAACAAGATAGGAAGGGGACGCTAGGGCCTGCGGACGCCTACAGGACTATCTCGGGTCTCAGATGGACTGAAGACAGCAACCCCTAGCTAAGGTCCGTATGCTCCAGTACCGGGATCTGCACAAAAGAGTGCAGATTATAGTATCAGTACAACCGACCCCATGTACTGAGTAAGTGTCAAGCCTAACCTCGGCGAAGTAGTGACGAGGCTAGGACACAACAAACAACATAACTTGCAATTAGCAATATCTAACAAAATAAAGTAATAGAAGCGAATCAAAAGCAACGGGAAGGGGCAACATGCATTAGGGGATAACAACATAAGGAAACACGGAAATGACAGAATGAAACAATTAAGGTGCTTGAATCAATAGCAACAAGAAATCACAACAAGCAGGCAAAGAATGCACGACATCACCCTTCGTGCTTTTACGCTCAATCCTCACTATGCAATCAATAAAGAAAATATGCACGACATCACCCTTCTTGCTTTATCGCTCTTCCTCACCAAATGAATATTGGAAATGTGCACGGCATCACCCTTCGTGATTTACCTCTCTTCCTCACCATATGCATCAATATCAATGTAAATGTGCACGACATCACCCTTCGTGCTTTATTACTCTTTCCTCACCATATGCAAAAGTATGAATGTGCACGGTATCACCATTCATGCTTTATCACTCTTTCCTCACCCAAACAATAGTAACAATCAACATCCCAGCAAGGGAATCAACATTTGAGAATAAATACATCCCGGCAAGGGAATTAACAATAAGAATTAAATACGTCCCGGCAAGGAAATTAGCTATAATCAATCTTGTTCCAACAATTTACTTCACAAATGAACCTCAACTATAGCCACTGCTGAACAATAGACAAATACTACGAAAAATGATCATAAGTCTTACTCAACATGTGTAATTAACAATTTAGGCATTTATAATGCTTATCAAGAATCACAATGATCACAATTTAAGACTCACGGGCATGCTTGACACCAACGTATAGATACTCGTCACCACACCTATACGTCCTACACTATACTAGCACATAGCAAATAAGGCACAACACCTATTCCCTCAAGCTAAGGTTAGACCAAACACTTACATCGATTCTACGGCCACAAATCAAGCCTCAACTATCGCTTTCCCTCTAGAATTCACCTTCAAAAACCCAAAAATTGACCCTGGGCTCACTTGGTCAAAACCCCGAAGTTTGGACCAAAATTCGATTATCCATTCACCTCCGAGTCCGGATATGCAATTGATTTTGGAATTCGACCTCAATTGAGGTCTAAATCCCCAAATTTCAAAATTCCCAATTTTCACCCAAAAACACCCAAATTCCCATGAAAATCCCTAAATTTTGTGATGAAATCTTGCAAAAGATGAAGTAGATTGAAAGAAATGAGTTAAAAGTTGTTTACCTATGATTTGGGGAAGAACCTTTCTTTGAAAAATCGCCCAAGAGAGTGTAGGGTTTGAAAGAGTTGGAAAAATAAAGAAAATCCCGTCTAAGTTCCAATTTACCTAGGCGCAAATATCGCATTTGCGATGCCAGGTTCGCAAATGTGGCCAAGACTTCACAATTGCAAAGATTGGCCTGGCCTGATTACTTCGCAAATGCGAACCAGCATTCGCAATTGCGATTGCTATTGGAGTCGCTTTTGCAACATGGAGCTTCGCAAATGCGAAGGTTCCCCCCTACTAAGTCATCGCAAATGTGATGGTTAGTCGCAAGTACGAGCTCGCATTTGCGAGCCAGGCTTTGCAAATGCAAAGCCTGCAGACACCAGCTGCTGCTCCTAAGTTCAAAACACTCCGCAGCCTATACAAAACTCACCCGAGCCCTCGGGGCTCCAAACCAAACATGCACGCAAATCCAAAAACATCATACGGACTTGCTCGTGCGATCAAATCATCAAAATAATATCAACAACTATGAATTTAACCTCAAAATCAAGAAAATTATCAAGAATACCTAAAGTTACTATTTTCACAACCGAGGGTCCAATTTATATCAAATCAAGTCCGTTTCCTACCAAATTTCACAGATTAGACTTAAACATTATTTTTGACCTCTAACTGGGCTCTAGAACCAACATACGGGCCCGATACCATCACATTTAAGCATTTATTCAATTTTCAAACTTTCTATATTTTTCTGTTAAACAATTTTCTTCAAAAATTCATTTCTCGGGCTAAGGACCTCGGAATTCAACTCCGAGTATACGCCCAAGTCCCATATTTTTCTGCAAACCTTCCGGAACCGTCAAATCACGGGCCCGGGTCCGTTTAACGAAAATGTTGACCGAAGTCAACTTAATTCAATTTTAAAGGCAAAATTTAGCATTTTCTCAAATTTTTCACATAAGGGCTTTCCAGATATACGCCCGGACTGTGCACGTAAATTAAGGTGAGATAAAAGGAGGGTTCTAAGGCCTCAGAACATAGAATTGACTTTTAAATCAAGTGATGACCCAAAAGGTCATCACATCCTCCACCTCTAAAATAACCGTTCGTCCTCGAACGGACATAGAAAAGAAGTAACTGAGTCAGGGAAAAGATGGGGATATCGACTTCGCATATCGGACTCGGACTTGGACTCCCAGGTCGTTGTCTCAACAGGCTGACCTATCCACTACACACGAACTGAAGGGAAATTCTTTGATCTCAACTGACGGACCTGCCGGTCTAGAATGACCACCGGCTCCTCCTTGGACTGAGCTGTACGAAGCCTATCCTGAATGATCTTGACCTTATCCAAGGCATCCTGA